ACCATCCAGGAGCAACAAAGCAGGAGTGTCAACTCCAGTGTGTCCTGAAGGCTCCATCGGTGTCCCGCAAGATCCTCCTTGAAGCAAGCGGGCTCTCCGGTCTCCTTGTCCGGGACTATATGGAGAAAGGCCGTGGCAGCAAGGACACCACAGTCCTCCCGAGATTCTGGCTGGTGAATGCAAATGACCTTCACAAGATGCGCATTGCGGTTCAGGGAACACCAGGTTTTGCTGGTATCATTGTGACTCATCGAGGCTTGGCGGTACGAGTGTGGTCTGATCAAATCAAAGAAGCACGTCAAGCCCTCATGGCAGCAGACAACAGACTTGTCCCTGAGAACATGCATGTTATTCCAAAGGTGTGTCTGGAACTTTCTGGATGGCCCGCGGCCACTGATGCTGCAAATGTCGCGCAGTCTACAATTGCTGTCCTTGGCCTCCCGGTCATTCCAATGCGTACATATCGTGCAGCTGGAGTGCATACGTGGGTCGTCACTGCACAAGAGCTTCCCAAAGCGACTCGCTTCACACTTGAGAACCGTGAATTGGTTGAAATCCTTGCGCAAGAAGTTGCGCCGCAGCAGCCAGTGAGACAGTCTGGCAAAGGCAAGGCCAAAGGTAAAGCGAAAGGTGTTGATCGTCCTGCTGAAGCACAAGGCACCGACCAAGCCATGAGCAGGCCTGAAGACACTCGGCTTGATAAGTTGGAAGAAAGGTTTGAGAAGTTGGAAAGCCGGCAAACTCAATTCGAGGGCCGTGTGGACTCCAAATTCGACACCATCCAGGACAGCCTGAGGCCTTACTAATCCCCGTGCCAGGGAAGCATCGGGCGAGACGCCCCCAGGCAAGCGTCAAAAGAATTGTTGACGCCGTGTCCCAAGGCACTTGCTGCTCCTTAGGCTCTGCCACTTCGTGGATTTTGTCATGTGGCTTCAAGGATTTTCTGGTGCGCCCATTTCAGTTTTCGTCACGTTCATGAGCTTGGAGTGCGTCGGCGCCTTGGGTCCGGTTTTTGTCGTTTTCATGTTTCGCAATGGGATCACTGGCTTTTTGCGCTTGTCTCATGCGCATGCCTTCTGCTCTTTGGATCTTCTTTGTCTTGTATTTGCCGCTTTGGCTCATTCGGTTTCCTCTTCGGCACTTTCTCCGTTTGGGTTCCTCCTTGTCGCATTCCCCTGCTGACTATGTGGGATGCCCTTTGCCAGTGCTGCACATCTAGGACATCTCCTGGATGCTTCGGGGTTCATGTGGATCGCACGCAGTTCCAGCTGAAGGAGACACCTCTTGCTCCCAGCTATCTTCGATCCGCGCTAATGGCTTTGCAGGCCGCATCTTCGATGTGTGAACACATCCCCTTGTGGACTTCCGTTTTCTGTGCTTTTCATTTGAGATGTGTCCTGACTGAATTCATCCACCACTTTCGTCTTGTTACACTCTTGGCATCACAGCTGTGCCTTGCCGCGGACCTTCTGTGTCTACACGTGTGGCTTCACGACTGCCAGCAAGCCTTTCATGCGTCAGCCGTGTGAGTGCCACTTGTGCAAATTGGAAACACATTCTCTTTTTGCTCGATGCCACTAAAGGGTTTCCTGGCGAAGGACCTGAGATTTGCTCATTTGTGTCGGCCAAATGTCGGGTCCTTGAACACGAATCATTTGTGGAAGTCTCGGGGTGAAGACATCACCTGCCTTCAAGAAACCCGCGCAGGGAAGAACAATGTCCGTACTTCGACCAAAAACATTGAAGCTGTTGGTCTTCGTCCCATTTTGGGACAACTTCTCCCAGGGCTGTGGCATGCAAATGGAACCACGAAGACTCCCTGTGGAGGAACTGCCATTCTTGGTTCCGACGTTGCCATTTCCCCCTTTGAGATCCATCATGACCAAACCGGACGGACACTTCAATAACCTGTTCCAAACCAAAAGGGTTGCTGCTGTGTGGCTTCAGGTTACCCCACGAGTCAAAGCTTTAATTTTCAGCGTGTACGCTTGCACTGGTGCTTCAAGCGATTCGAGGGTTCATGCTGACAATGGAACATTTTTTCCGGCCTTCTGGTTCTGATTGCGCAATTCGGTGACATCCCTGTGATCATTGCAGGAGACTTTCAAGCCTCCCCTGCTTCCCATGAGTCGTTAGCAGGCGCCTACAATTTCCAAGGGTGGGTGGACCCCCTCTTAACAGGGCTTGCAATTCAAATTTCGCGGAAAAATTGGGATATACTCTCGAGGAATAGAACCTGTACGGTCACCGACTTTAATCTGCTCAGAAATTACTTCCTGCAGGGCTACCCATCTGAGGAGAAAGACAAGAAGAAGAAGCCGTATGCGCTCCCCCATACCCACTCACTTCATGCTAGCACGTTTGAAACAGCGGTAGCAAGGATCAGCTACAAACGGTATCTCCAGAAGACCACCGACTTTGAAACAGCTAGAGTGCAACCAGGGTACTATGCCACGATCAATCAAGCAAATCCCATCCACGCTACTCCCGAGATGGAGCAAATTGAACCCCGTGACTCAGTCACGGAGCAGGGCACGGAGCCTGAGCCCGCACATGCTAGTCATCACCGTGCCCTCAGTGAAACCAAGGGGATTTGACTGTCCGTTAAGGTTATGACCCCTATGCTAGGAACCTCTCGGTTGGTGTTGAGCAAGTCAGCAAGGCTCTCGCGACAGGCAGCATCCCTAGATGCTGTCCTGAGCAAGGTATCGAGGTTAGCCGGTAGTTGGCCTCGCCGGTCGTGCATCACATGGGTGCCCACCGGCAATAGTACCCAGGAGCCCATTGCAGCATGTGAGTGGTAGGCGACCAACTAGTTCTCCACTGCAGTTGGCTCAAACCAGCTAGATTAGATGGTCGGATGCTGATTGCCTGCTAACTGCCTGTTGCGGGCCAATTGTCCCCCTGTCATCCACATGGACAACACTGCGCTATGGGAGAGCTGTGAAGACAACGAGTTTGCTGGCAACTGCTCTTGCACTCTCCTGCTCACCATCATGGCTGGAACTGGCATACAAATCGTAGTGCCTGTGAGCATACATCATAGGTGGGACATGCTGGAGGATTACTTGGTAGAAAATCTGCCCGCAGTCAGTCACTTGGATACTTTCGGGTGTGAGCTCATCCTCCTCGATGCAGACACACACACACCAGGCTTTGAGTGACCCAATCCAAGAAACCCTGTGGGTTAACAGTCATTTCCACCTAGTTGTTCAAGAGTGTTTCCAGAGGTATGACTGCAAGGAACAAATTCGAGGGGAAGAGTATGAGGACTACCCCAAAGCAATCAGGGTCCCTGCCAATGCCACCTTCGCCATGTCAAAGTTGACCCTGGACTTCACACGATTGACCGAGAAGCCTGGCGATATTGCCATTCGCTGCAAATTGTCAAGCTCCCTTACACTGTTGTGGCTGTGGAATATGCTGCTTTCCAAGGGTGTTTTGCGCTGGTAATGGTTGAAATGCCCGGCTGCGTTGCCTTTGGTGTACGACTCTTCTCTGAGTGTTGTGCCCTGGAAAAAGTTGGCGTCCTTACCGAAGGCGCATGCAAGCTTGCCGAGGGAGCAGTAATAGGGCCGTATGCCTTTGAAAGCTGTGGTAAGCTTGAGCAGATTTCCCTACCTGGTGTCAAAGCGCTGTCCGATACCATGCCTATGCTGCATCCCCCTGCAGGGATTCCGCAGGGCTGCTTTCATACGTCTGGTATCCGAAGTGTTATGCTAGGGGGGGATGTAGTCTTCATTGGTCATAGGGCATATGAAAACTGCAAACAGCTCGCCGTGGTTGACGTCTCTCACACGAGTATTACCATCCTGCACACGCATACCTTCTCGCACTGTTTACAGCTGGAAAGGGTGAGTTTGCCACCCTGCCTGCGAGAAATCCGAGCTGAGGCCCTTGTTGGATGTAAGCTTTTAGGTAGTCTTGCCCTCCCAGAACACCTTCGCTACATAGGACACAGGGCCTTTGGCGAATGCAGTGAGCCATCCTGCCTGCACTACTGCAGACTAAAACGGGTTACTTGGAGGCGCCCGTACGCTGCCTATAATGCCTTCGAAGCGTGTTACAAGCTTGCTACCCCTTGGTGGCTCCACTACCTACCCCCAAATGGAACGGATTGGATGGTGCCACCTAGCCACCATACTTGACAACAGCACCCCCTCAACAGCTGTATCTTCTCCTTCTTCTTCTTGTTCGTTCTTCCTTCTTCTGGTCTTGCGTCTTCTTTTTTCCTGCTCTTTGTTTGTTTCTTATTTTTCCTGCTGGCTTATCCTGTTATGAAGAATCCTAGCGCCAATCTAGCGCTGCCTTACTGTATCACCATAGTCTGCCAGTCAGCTGCTTATTTTTCCTGCTTGCTTGTCTTCTTCTTGTAGTGCATTATTCTTCTTCTTCTCCTTCTTTGTCTTCTTGTTTGTTCTTCGTTTTTCTGGTCTTGTATCTTCTTTTTTCCTTCTCTCTGCTCTCTGCTTGTTTCTTCTTTTTCCTGCTTGCTTATCCTGATATGAAGAAACCTAGCGCCAATCTAGCGCTGCCTTGCTGTGTCACCATAGTCTGCTGGGGGGCCCGCTTCTAAACGAAGATCTTGCACTTCTATTAGTTTCTTATAAATTAATTCTTACTTGTCACTTGCTACTTAATGCCTAGACCACATTCATCAACAGAACCTCAGACTCAGACCTCAGATTCTGTGATTCCCTGAGCAGCTCAGCTCAGCCAACTGATTTAGTAAATGTGTTGTCAAGTTGTCTTTTCTCATTTTCTTCTTTGCGCCTTCTCTTTCCTGTTCCTTCTCTTATGCGTCATTATGTTTTTGGATTCTCATTTCATGGAGACAGGAGACATGGAGAATATGCCTTGAATGTCAATGATGTGGCTATGAGGCTCAGTTGGGGTTTTAGCTTACTTTGTAGTTTGTATGGCCACATGGATCTGACTCTCCGCTAGTGCACTGGCACTATTTTCCAAGCGAGATTTGTGCGTCAGTGCACGATTGCTGAATGAGGGTTGGAGACATAGCATACCTCAAGCTTGATCAATTTGAACCAGCTTGGCGACAAGGTTTAGTGGTTGCCAGTAGTCCAAAGAGCTCTCGACTGGTCTTGGCTGTCCGCTGCACCACTGCGGAACTCCGCGAAAAGGGATCTGGCTTGTCATCGTTTGATTGCAAAGAATGTCGGTACATCCTAGTCGAAGGGAGGCCGGCGCAGATCAGAGCGTCGTGCGACCAACCGCTTCGAGGCCTAGAGGTCTCGACGGATGCCCTGCTGAAGACAGCCCTAGAGGCATTAGATTCCGAAGATTTGCAATATGCCACGGCTTCAGAGGACCTTCCCATCACTACCCCTGCAGCTGGCAGCAAAATGGGCCAACAGCCGGAGTTGTTGGGGTCTGGGACGGAAAGCAGCTTGGAGGAGGATGGCAGCGGCGACGAGCTTATCCAACTTCTGCAGAGAGCCAAAAGAACAGATCTCGGGAAGGCTTCAAGTTCCGACAGGCCAGCAAAGATTGGACATCAGGCAAAGGGTCGATACCCGTTCTTGACCCATCAAAGCCGGGAAGCCAAGGGTTCTTCAGATGGCGTCCAGAAGCTCTTTAAAAAGGCCTTGTCGGCCGACCCTGCAGCAGAGCTCACCACCACGAACCTCAATGCCTTGATCTCCATGGAGCTGTTAAGGACTCTGAAAGGAAAGGAGCGAAGACGCGATCGAGTCAGCAGTCCAGCAGGTTCAGATCGCAGCGACGACAGCAGCCTGGAGTCTTCGAGCAGCCGTGGGAAAAGGGGGGGTGCAAGCAAAGCTCTCAGGGCCTACAGACAGGGCCACAGAGAGATGAGGAGAAATCCCATGCGCCATGTGAAGAGATACATAAAAGAGGTCGAAGGCCATTTAGGTGCCACAAAAGAAACAGCCTACGCCTTGTCAGACTTCACTCGACGACTGAATTGGGGAAGGCAAAGGACCCTTTTGAGGGTGCATTTTGCGCTGTCAGAAATCCTTCAGACCTTGTTGAAGAACCAGCCCGAACAGGCAGCCTTAGAGTTGGTACAGCTGTTGAGGGCAGTTCACCAATGCAGTCTAGATCAAGGATCTTGGAAGACCGCATGGCTTTTGCTGAGGTACACAGACCCTGTGGAAGTTCCCAGATTCGGTGGCGAGCCGCAAGAGCTGGAAAGGGTGGCGGGCTATCTCAAGGCCTTGGAAAATCTCGAGAAGAAGTCAAAGGGCGCTCCAAGGGGAGAGCACAACGAGGACGAAGAGAAGAAGGGAAAAGGCAAGAAAAGCTGGAACAGAAAGCCCGATGCGAGCCAAGAAACATGAAACATGGTCAGTCCTCTCAGCCGGGTTTTTGCCCAAGCACAGATGAGAGCCGGTTGCCCAGTCTAATTAAGTGCATGCATGGGTCCTTCTCCAGATTTGTTAGGATCTATAGGTCGAACATGACACGGGGAGAAACACTCAGCAACGCGACTGAGAAAACAACATTGTTTCCGTCTATGATTCCTTGGTCAAAACCTCCGGGTAAGTCTAGGCGTAGGCGAGGCCCCCCCTCTGACAAAAAGTGGGAGGCTTTTGAATGGCTCAACCTAGTATGGTGTCTCTGCAATTTTCTAGAAGCTGGATCGCCTTGTAGAGCCCATGCTGCACGTCACGCTGTTCGGCGTGCTTCGCTAGGGGAATGGACTGCCCTCCATGAAGGCCATGCGAAAACAATGTATGATAAGATACTTCGGTATGTAGCCCAGCCTAGGGGGACCATGGAAAGGGGCTCTGCCAAGTTAGAAGACTTAATTAGCAGAATTCGATTTAATCAATACAATCCCGGGACCAAACTAGACGAAGCTATGTGCGGTGCCATGCCGGTGAACCCCGATAGAATATCTGTTCCAGAGGCGGCAGGCATTTTAGACCCCAAAGATCACCTTCCTCCAAAGAAGCTAGTGCAGTTTTTATCCATGCCGCGTGACGTGCCAATCCCCGGTCCTGTTGCAGGGGACAGTCGGGCCTGCCACAAAGTCGCCCCGCGCGACTGGCCGACTTTACTCCGGAAATTGTATCAAGCTGGCATGATTGCCTTTGTGCCTTGTGACCAAGCAGTAAGGGAGGGAGATCAAGTGATAAAAGGCGGTCTGTTTAGTGTGCCTCATAAACCTGAATCAGATAGATTAATAAATGATAGACGGCCACTAAACATGAGGGAGCGCAGGTTGAACTGGTGTGAGTTGCCTTCAGGCGTCATGCTTAGCCAGCTCATACTTGAGAGCCACCAAAGCATCCGGGCTTCAGGAGATGATTTGTCAAACTACTTCTATCTCATCAAGCACTTGGATGACTGGTTGCCACGTAATTGTTTTTGTAGGGCCACAAAGGGAAAAGCCTTAAAAGGATTCGATTTGGAACCAAATACAAACTACTATCTCGCTTTTAAAGTTGTTTGTATGGGGGACACAAATGGGGTAGATATTGCCCAAGCCACACATGAGGCGGTTCTGAGGGAAGCTGGCTGCTTGCAACCAGACCAGACATTGGTGTATGGTAAGCTGTTCCCTGCTTCAGAAACACTCGAAGGGCTATATATCGATGATCATCTTGTGTTTCAAATCGTTGATAAAAAACCTATCCGCAAAAGGGACCCTTTCCCTGATGAAGCTTTAATGCAGCAGTCCCGTGGCAAGTATGATAGTTTGAAGCTTCCCCGCTCCACTAAGAAAGCCTTTGATAAGGAATATGTGTTCAAGGCCTGGGGAACTGAAGTATGCTCTTCTTCTGGTAGGGTAGGAGGACTAGGCTCCGACAAATAGAGGAATTAGCTACACAACTGGTTGCTCAACGTCATGCAACAAAAAAGGCTCTTCAGAAATTGGTCGGGCTATTTGTTCACCCTTTCATGCATCGTAGGGAATGTATGAGTATCTTGCACCATACATACTTATACATCGAAAATTTGCCAGAAGGGATTTCCCGCAAGATGCCTCAATACATTCTAGGTGAGCTGTTAACTGCAAGTTTATTGCTTCCTTTGGCTTCAGCCAACATTCGATGGCCTGTTTCTGTTCAGATATCGGCAACTGATGCCAGCTTGTCGGGGGGGAGGGCGTGCAGTGACGCTGACTTCACGCGTCTTTGCAAAAGCCCTCTACAGACATGGAGTTCAGAAAGGAGAACATACTAGGCTTGATTGGCACGATGCTCCCATACCACCTGAAACAACCATGAACCGAGCTCCGCTGCCTCTTTTTGAAAGCCTCATGAAGCATCAATGGTCTACTGCACAGTCTTGCACTTTTAAAAGAAAAGATCATATAAACTTGCTAGAGCTCGAGATGCTAAAATGCGAAATCAAAAGCCGTGTAAACACAGGACACAGCAAATGCCGTGTAGTTAACTTGTGTGACAGCCGCGTGGTTGTAGGGGCTTTCGCAAAGGGCCGATCTAGCTCAAAGAGCTTGAATCATCGACTCCGCAGTTGCTTGCCTTGGCTACTTGCAGGCGACCTTCAGGTAACAAATCTTTGGGTAGATACTCACCATAATCCAGCTGATTTTCCTTCTAGGTTTAAGGACATCCCAGCTTGTGAGCATACTACTGAAGATAGTCTCCTTGATGAAAGAACCTTGCAAGCAGTTCAAAAGTGGCGGTCGCCTGGGACTCAGGCTTTGTTGGAGCATGAGGCTCGGGCCTGGGAACATGATGTAATTTTTCCGTCAGAAGCTGACCATAGCGTGAGCTTGCCGAGCACCTGCAGCGTTCAGCCGGATGTCGTTGAACATTTTGCAGCCGAAGCGGCAGCTGTAAACAACCAGCGACATAGGAATGCTCCAAGGGTAGTCTTTCGTGAGTTTTCTACAGGCAATGGGCGGTTGACTAAAGTCTTTGAAGGGAAAGCCTCTTTTTCGGTTTTGCACACTAGAAAATTAGACACTGGTAGCAAGACCTTAAAGGCCACAGAGATTTTAGACCAAAACACCTTCAGGGCATCGAAGTTCGAGGCCCTGCAGCCAAACCAACTCTGGCATTTTAGTTTGCCTTGTGGATCTTTTTCGATTCTTCAACACTTGAACCTAGGAACTCGTAGGCCTGGTTTACCCCAAGGTGACGGGACATCAGTTCGTGAATTGCTAGGAAACAAATTGTTGAAGAAAGTTCTGTGTTTGATTGAATGCCTTGAAAGTGCGCCTAACCATTGGACTTTAGAAAACCCAGCTTCTTCCTACATGTGGCACATGCCAGAGTTGAAACTCAAAGTGGCATCGGAACATGTTTTTGAAGCAGTTTTGCACCAATGTGCCTACGGTCTAAAACTGAAGGGTTCAGATGGACAAGTAGGGCCTTGCAGAAAACACACACGGTTTGTCGGTAATTTAGAAACTCTGCCGCAGTTGTCCAAGCAGTGTGATTGCAGTGTAAGCCACACGTATGCTGTAGGTGGAATCAGAACAAAGCAAGGATGGAAAAGACGTTCAGCGTTGGCAGGCCTGTGCCCTTTTCCACTTTGCCATAAGTATGCCGCCATAGCGCGCTGCATTTTGCCGCGTGAATGAGCTTGATCAGGCGAACCTAGGTCCCGCAAAGCACTGCATGACTTAGTTGGAATTTTGTTTGAGTTAGCAAGGGTGAATAGGAGCACTGCATTCCTGCGCCATGGTGAATAGACAGGGTTGTGAGCCTGTGGTTAAATATGCTGAGTCGATTTTCGAAACCCTACCGGAGTAGGTTGCTTGCTGGATTCCGGGACGTGCAAGATTTTGCAGCCACTTCCTTCGGCTGTTCTCTTCGGTATGTTCTTTCAGACCCAAACAGAGCTGACGAAATTCTTTCTCAATATGTCCTTGAAAGGCACCATAGCTCTATGGACAGCAAACTGTCAGTAGTCAAGCATGCCTTGCTGTGTTGCCAACATGTCCAACCAAAGCTGAAAGGACGCATCAACACTAGCTGGGAAAATCTTAAGGTATGGGAAGAGAGACGTGTCACCAAGCTGCGACCACCTTTGCCTGTGCCACTGTGGTTGTTTATGGTAGGCCTCTCCCGAGCTCGTGCAAAAGTAGAGTGTACCCAAGCCCTCCGAAAGAGGTGGAACATGTTTGCGGTTCTTTTGGAAGTAGGCCTGCTGTGCATGTTGAGACCCGGAGAATTACTAAAACTCCATCATTGCGACGTGTCACTGCCAGGGGACTTTACCCTAAGCCAACCTTTCGCAGCCATCCGAATTGCAAGCCCAAAAAACCGAAGGCAGTTTGGAGCAGAGCAGTTTGTGGTATTGCGTAACCCCAACACAATTTCTTGGTTAAAGGAATTTGTTGTAGAGGGATCTTCGGCAATGCTTTGGGAATGGCATGATTCTCAGTTTGCTAAGTTGTTCAAGCAAACGTGTGCTGAGTTGAAAATCTCACGCCTGCATCCTGGAGGTGCCACCATGTTGTACGGGCAAGGAACCCCTATCAGTACATTACGGTTCATGGGTAGGTGGACAGTAGAGCGTTCCTTGGAGCATTATATTCAGCTGGCTATGTCAACACAAATCATGAATAAGCTTCTCCCGGAGGCCGTTTCTCGATTGAAGAAAGTAGGCCACCTCTGTTTAGAGCACGTTTTGTTGCCCCATGGTTGTCACCCCCTTCAGCCCTTGACTTCGCAAAGCCGTTTCTCTGCTGGAACTCTTGTGGAGTGGTGCAAGCAGTATGCAGCCCTGGAAAGAAAAGCATGGTAAGCGAGTTGTCTCAGGCGGGGCCCTTCGTGGCATGGCTTTCGATCATTTGACAACAGAGCAACTAACGAAAGCTGCTAAAAGATATCCATGTGACCCCAAGCTTCACAAGTACGCAAGAGCTGTCCTTGCTTCTCTTGACCTAGACGGCAATGAGCCTGAGCCTTGTCGACCTGTCCTAGTGCGGGCCAGCCAGTCAAGTGCCACCGTACATCAATTTTACTTCGGGCGGCTGCTGACCGGTGGGTGGACAAATTGCCCTAAGATCACGTGTGCCAGATCGACGCATCTTATTTTGTTTGGCTTGCTGCTGATATTTGTGCTAAAACCAGCCTTTTCTACTGCGTGTGCTCGTTTCGCCGTGCAGTCTTTGCGATTGCTCATGCGTCGTGTTGCTGGAATCGTTGCATTGTTGCTCGAAGGCCTGATCGATGAAGTCATTTATCAGCTTGAACTTGTGCTTCGGCAAGCTTTGCCAGAAGACCTGAATTTTGATGAGATGGCTAGATCACCTTCAACTGTGATTTCGCATTTGCTTTCAGCCCTGACAGGCGCTACACTGTCTTTGCTCACTTCCGTAATGCATGCTCGGCGGGGCCAAATACCCGCAGCA